CTAATCTAGGTCTACCTCTACCCCTCCTAACTCCTGTTTCTGCCTCTAATATGTTTCTGACTAGACCTTCATGCCTAAGAAGGTGTCCTACCAACCTATCTCGCCTATTTTTTATTGACTTCCATAGAGTCCTCTGTTCTCCTATTCATTCCAGTACCTCTTCATTTCTAACCTTCTCTACCCACGTTATCCTAATCATCCGCCTGTAACATCACATTTCGAACGCTTCCAACCTTTTCTTTTCGGCCGCGCCCACCGTCCATGTTTCACACCCGTACAATGCCGTGCTCCAAACATATACCTTTAACAACCTTTTCCGAACTTCTAAATAATTAACCGTTCGCGAGCATAGAAGTGACTTCTTTTTATTAAAAGCGACACAACCCTGCGCTATCCTCTGCCTTATATCCTTACTACTCCTTCTATCCTGACTTATCTGACTTCCTAGGCATTTAAAATCAGCCACTTCTTCTAATTTTTCGTCTCCTATCTTTATATTCGCTCTTTCAGTACTTTTTCTTCCCTTGCATACCAGTATTTTAGTTTTACTTTTATTTACTTTCATACAGTACTGATCTGTCAGGACTGCTTCCATTTTATTTAAAGCTATCTCTAGGTCTTCCTTGCTAGATGCTAATACTGACACGAATAAGAAAAAAGCTACAGCATCAGCTGAGTATAGAGACCGCATCCGCTTGCATTGCAGCCGGCCGTCGATACCACTAAGCCATTACCATTTGTTCAAAATTGTAAAATATTATTCCATCGCGCTTGCGCAAATTTCTGTATTCGGACGGAATTTACTTAAATACATCGCTGAGTAGACTTAAACTATTAAAATATAATTGTGGATTCTCGACGTAGTCGATTCAATATTTTCACGTCAGTAAGGGGTTGCGTCAAATTGAACGCGTAAACCTTACCTTTAAGTTCAACGTACTAATACAGTAACGTTGGATCAACCTAAAATATGTAGATAATTTTTACTTTTGACGGGATTGAGCTCAAGACTAGTAGTAGGTGTACTAAATATGGTAACGCTGCTTATATCGGGTTCAAATTGTTTATTGTTTATGTTTATGTTTATTTAGTAGAAGGCAGCAGTACAAAACTGGTAATATCTACATCATGTGTTACATTATCATAATAATAAGTGAAGCTACAAAAATAATATCACAGAAGTTAATTGATATAAACTAGACTAGCAAGAAGAAAGTCATTTGGTACAGAGAGAAGGACTGTAGTTGGATAGCAGGTGTCGTCGGTATCGAGGGTTCAATTTCTCCCGCCTAGCAGGTGTCGTTGCAGGGCTGTTTTGAAGCTGGGAATCGTGTCCGAGTTGATGATGTTTGCAGGGATTTTGTTCCATTTCAGAACAACCCTGTTCGCTAGGAAGTGTTTCCTAAGCGGCCTACGGATTCGACTCAAGTTCAGCTTCATGGAGTGTCCTCGAAGGTTTGTAGTCCGAGCGCGGTTGAAAATAGATTCCACCGTCGGGCTGTTGTACCAGCCCCCCAAGATTTTGAATGTCTCCACTAGGTCTGCACACTCTCGTCTTTCATCAAGGCTTTGGAGGTTTAGTCTCCGAAGTCTCTCCTCATATGGGAGGTTCCTGAGCTCGTACGGTATCTTCGACGCTCGTTTGAGTACTCGCTCGAGATCGTCGATGTCACCAACCAGGTATGGAGACCAAACTGGTGTGCCGTACTCCAGTAACGGAAGAACGTAGGTGGTCAGGATCATCCTCAGGAGATCGACGTCGATATCCAGGAAGGCTCGACGTATCCGATAGAGGAGGGAGTTTGCCTTTTTGATCACCGCTGATGTTTGGAGGTCCCACTTCAGGTCTTCCTTGATGATGATCCCCAGGTCCACTTGCAAGGTGGTAGTAGCAAGTGGATGACCGTGCAAGGTATAGATTCGCTGTGGGATCTTCTTCTTGCCAAGATGTAAAACGGTACATTTGTCGGGGTTTAGAGGAATCATCCATGTGGTCGACCATAGTGCCACGTTGTCAAGGTCCTCCTGAAGCTGGGCGCCCTGCGTCTCGGGGTTCGCATATATTTTGTTGTCGTCCGCATAGGTCTGGTGCCGTGATCGTGTTTGCACATGCAGGTCGGACGAGTACAAAATAAAGAGCAGAGGCCCTAGAACAGAGCCTTGGGGAACTCCACTGGGTGCTGAACTCGGAGAAGAGAGTGCGTTTCCAATCCTCGTCTGGAAAGTCCGGTTCGACATGTAGGCTCCAATCCAGGCTAGCAGCTTACCTTGGATCCCAAGGTGCTCAAGCTTGTGGAGCAGCCTTCTTGGAGGAACTTTGTCGAAGGCTTTCGAGAAATCCAGATAGATCACGTCCATCGGTTCGCCGACATCCAAGGCCTTCGTCCAGTCGTCCATGCACTGCAGGAGATTAGTATTGATCGACCTCCCCGGGATAAACCCATGTTGTTGGGGAGGGATCACGCCAGTTCGAAGGGCAAATTTCAGTATCTCATCTGCAATTAGTCGCTCCATGACTTTGCAGATAGTGCTGGTAAGGCTGATCGGCCGGTAGTTGGAGGTAAGATGCCTGCTACCTTTCTTGTGGATGGGCGTGACTATGGCGTGTCGCCAGGCTTCTGGAATGGTGGCGGTGTCCAGCGAGTGGCGAAAGAGGACCTGAAGAGCCGGGGCCATGGCGGCGGCACATTCCTTGAGAAGGATGGGAGGTATCCCATCTGGACCAGACGCTGCAGATCTATCCAGAGTGCTCAGTACCTTCCGAATGTCCTGCTCCGTNATTTCTTTTGAAAATACGTGTCCTACAAGAAGCATCAACTTTAAGCACTTGTAAAAGCTTTTAATGACCATATTATTGAAAGCCAAAAACGTAATAAATTGCACCTCGTTGAACTTTTAACCGAAACAAATTGAGCGGAGAGTTAATAAAACCAATTCATGACTTGGTTGGCCACCTTGCTCATTGCTTTGTTCAGGCGTAACACTATTTTGGAGAAGATGATGGTGAATTGTTTAGGCAAAAGAACGGAATAAGAGATTTGGCCATCTTGGCACTGGGAAGTAGTAAAAAAGCAATAGAACTTTATACTGTTTACCATGTCATCTCCGCCATTTCAGCAGCTGATGGTTGTTGGTGTATTTCGTTGAGGCACTCAGGACAAATAATGATCCTCGTTTCCTTGTCACGTATTTCGTCCTGCTTATCAGCTAACTTCGATTTTGTGCTGAGCTGATAAGGGTGGCGCAGCTTGCACACTTCATATACCAGGGGCCATTTTGCGTCCCCGAGAAACCTAAAGGCATTACAAAAGACTATATCCGTTCAATATAAACGTTTCGAAGGACATACTTGTCCATTTTGAGTACGGACACGAATTGTTCTATTTTGCCGTTGATGTATTTCATGCATGTGTTCATGTTGTTTCTTCTTGCGGCAGTGATACCTTGAATTCCGAGAATGTTAAAGAGCCAAGGGTGAAGACAAACGCTCATGAAACTTGTTAACTCCAGTAGGCAGCATACGTTGATAAACAAGTGTGTTCCCAAATAGGAGACCGTTTCGTCGCCGTAACGAGCCATTTCCCAAGCTAGGAACACAGACGAACCACCACGGGTGACACACAAAGCGATCACAAATGCCTCCTGCGTCGTCAAACCGTAACCAATCCGATTGAGTATTGGGGCCATTATTATCAGTGCCATTATACGACTACAGTACATCTACGGGATTGAAATCTATTGTAACTTTTGACGTGACAACGTCTTATAATTTGATGGAGCCGGCTGCACGCACGAAAAAACATGACTCATGCGGCGTTACCTCGCTCTGAGGCGTTCCATTTAAGGCTTGAAGTGCAAGCGAGAGCGCGGAACGAGCGACAAAGAGGCACAATCGGCCTCCGCGTTCGGCAGCGTTCGACATCTGTCTCTCTCCTACTTGAGTGAGCGATGCGTCCGCGTGGACAGCTGCTATACAATAATACATTTACATGTTTTTGTCAAGTATGAAGTGTAGTGAAAAGTGAATGTGGTGTCAAACCATTCCATCAGTATTTTCTTATGACGTTGTCACGTTCAACTATCGTCAGTAAACCGACTTTACAGACAACCGATTTTTTTACAGAATAAGAGAAAACGACAGAAAATGGAAAGAGCTCGTACACAGGATTTGTAGATTTAGAAAAAGCTTTTGACAATGTTAAATGGAACAAGATGTTAAAAATACTTAAAAATGTACGGATGAGTTACAGTGATAGGAGAGTGATACTTAGTTTGTATAAAGAGCAACAGGCAGTTATAGAGCTAGGGCTGCAACGTAGAGAAGTAGATGTTAGGGTGTCAGACAGGGATGCACACTATAACCGCTACTTTTTAATCTATACATCGAAGACGCGATCAACATCATTAAAGACAGTACAATTGTAGGGATAGATACACAGAGACAAAAGACTAGTCTGCTTAGATTTGCAGAAGATGTAGCAGTATTAGCATCTAGCAAGGAGGAATGTTTATTTAGAAGGTCAAATTAGGAAGGCGAACTCCTCATATAAATATATGAAATCTTATGACATTGTTAGTTACTTAATAGTGGATTAATACGCAATATTAATTTGAAATCATTTTTTCGATTTTTTATTTACTCACTACACGCTACCTCAAATTAATGAGGGAAAATTGTTGCTGTTGTCACACCCTCGCCGGGAATGGAGCCCGGGACCTTTGGCTTTACGCACCGATGTTCTGACCACTAATCTACGAGAGGTAGGTCCCGGGTTCGATTCCCGGCGGGGGTGTGACAACAGCAACAATTTTTCCCTCATTAATTTGAGGTAGCGTGTAGTGAGTAAATAAAAAATCGAAAAAATGATTTCAAATTAATATTGCATAATAATCCACTATTAAGTAACTAACAATGTCATAGGATTTCATATAGCAAGGAGGAGTTAAAGATAGCTTTAAATAAAAAGGAAACGGTATTGACGGAACAGTATTGCATGAAAATAAATAAAACTAAAACAAGAATACTGGTATGTAAGTGGAGAAAAAGTAGGGAAAGAGCGAATGTAAGGATGGGAGACAAAAGATTAGAAGAAGTGACTGATTTTAGGTATCTCGGGAGTCAGATAGGCCAGGACGGATGGAGTAATAGGGATAGAAAGGAGTGGATAGCGCAGGGTCGAGTCGATTAATTTAGAAATTCGAAAACGATTGTTAAAGGTGTACGTTTGAGGTGTAGCGCTGTACGGATGCGAAACAGGGACGGTCGGCACGACGTAAAACGAAAGGTTTAGATGCCTTCGAAATGTGGTGTTGCAGGTGAATGATGAGGATACCGTGGATAGAGAACGTTAGAAATGAAGAGCTATTAGAATGAAAAAACAGTCTTAGGACTGGCGGTCGTATGATGATGAAAAGAAATGGAAGAGCTTTCGATTGATTCGAAGATTTAATGAGTGGAAGATACCCTTTTTTATAAATACTGAAATTTAGTCCAATTATAATGAACATAAATTGCAATTTGCTTACTGTAAGAAATGTAACCAGAAAGACCAAAGTGTCGCTAGAATCAAAGTGGGCTATGATCTTTTCAACCAGATTAATGCCAGCAACACAGAGAATCATGTAGAAGACGACCTTGAGGCTGATCTCCCAAAAGTGTACCAACTGGCTGGCGTTATACGAGCCAAGCAGTTCCTTTTCTAACATTGCAAACCATCCGATCACAATAACAGCAGTGGTTGAACTAACTCCAAGTTCGGAGGAAATCTGGTAGCCCATGAAAGACCACAAAAGTGTGTACAAAATCAGTCTGGAACTGTCCACGGCGTATTTCTTCATCAAGAGAGCGAGAAACCAGCCAAGGCACAATCCTATACCAATACCGCCGCCCAGCAGCTGCAGAAACTTTAAGAAGTAGTCTAGGTGATTTTGTTGGTTCGTTTCATGAGCTAACATTGCTGTGGTGAATATTATCATCATAATCGGTTCAGTAAAAACACTCTCGCCCTTCAGGAGGGCTTGCAAATGGCGCATCCGCGGTATTCCTTCTAAATGAACGGTAATCTCGAACGCACTTGTGTGCGAGACGATGGCTCCAAAGATTATAGCCAGAGGGACGTTTACAGTTACCTTCAGTAAAGTGTAAGTCACAAAAAAGCCGGTTATTATAGACGTTATCAAAAATATTGTGATCGACAGCAACGCTATCTGTATCCACGCTCTTACGAACACGTGAGAGTCGAAACAGATCATCTCTTGGAAAAGATGGAAGGAATACAATACGTTGAGATAGTATCTTGGGTTTATTTCAAGGAATACTTTCGTGTATTCCTGGAAGGGTTCGTAAAACTTGGTCAATATTCCTGCGATGATGCCAGTTAACAACGCGCCACCCTTTGCAATAGCTACAATTCTGCTTCTGTTGATTGTACTCCACATCATTGCTCCAAAGGTTATCAATAAGATGGTAAGAAGATAAGGTTTCGAGAAGCCATCGTTTAGTATAGTTTTTTCGGCCATTTTGATTTTTACTCGACTTATCAATTAAGTAGGTACTAATAATTACTTAAGACGTTAAGAACGTTTGACACTTTTTTTGTTTGTAGAACAGTTGAACTTCGGAAAGGTTTCCTGGATATTTTAAAACACGAATGTTACACAATAATATCTGAAAAGCAAAAAAACTCGGGCGCTACATTGCCAAGGCAAAGAACCAAAAGGTTTGCTCCAGAAGAACCTCAGCCAGGGATTCGTAATGGTATTACCTAATTGATTATGAGAGCTCGAACATCTCATAAAAAAAACTAATTTACAAATTGAAGAAATTTATTAAATTTCGGTAAAATATTTACAAATAGTTCCTGGAAACAGTACGTATCTAAAGTCGGTATCTACTTTAAAGTTTCTTCACTTAATAAAAGAGAACATTTAGATAAACAAAGAAGTTTTAGAAAATACCACAAATGGCGCAGTAAACGCCATCTGTAGTACGATGCCACATTTTAGGATTACGTATGTTCCAACAAGGTCCACTTGTGTGGATATCTATTTGCTGAAAACGAATCCCGACGTAGCCAACCTCAGCGTGATAGGCACGTTAGCTTAATCGAATGAAATAATTCCAAGTGGTCTGTGTTCTGTCGAAACTGCCAGACGCGGATCGCGATTTCGATCTTTTTGGATCTCATCAGCGCGTCGCAGGCAGCAGTAAACGCGTTTACTGCGCCATTTGTAGTATTTTCTAAAACGCACTGTTAAGACAGCAGGTAAAAGTTGGTCTGTGTTCTGTCGGAGCTGCCTGCGACGCGCTGATGAGATCCAAAAAGATCGAAATAGCGATCCGCGTCTGGCAGTTTCGACAGAATACAGAACACTTCGAATTATTTCATTCAATTAACAAAGAAGTGTTCCAGGAATATATGAGGAATTGGATTAAAACAGATTGTCCACCAAGAGTAACTAAGCTAGAACTTTACAACACCAGTTCTTATATGTTATTGTTAACACCTTCTCGCACTACTATTGCTTTTATTTAACTATTTGCTGTCTAATTAACACTACCATTATTGACTACTTATGAATTCATCACTATATGAACACTCTGTCACCTTTGCGCTCCTTCCTCGTCGCTTTGTATCGTCTCGACCTCGTTCTAGTACTAACCACTCGATCTCGCGACAACTATTTATAGAGGCTTGCCATATTCTATAATGATCCAGTATACGCCATCTAGGAACCGAGTCTACTCTGTCGGCATGTATGTTGGGTGGCTTGTACATATGTGACAGTATTATATTCTAAAGAACTGTTCCCCTCACATACGTGTTAGAAACTCATATTCCCTGGTAAAAGTCATTCTAATCTTAAAAAATATAAGAGGTCTAATAATAGAGTAAAGTATCAATTGATGTGAGATAAAGGAAAAGGTATTGGGATTAGTCAAAGACTTTAGTCAGTCATCAGTAACATTCTCAAAATTCAAATAACAAAATGGAGTCACCCATGCACAACCTAAGTCCACCTCGACGATGACCAGGAAGAAGAAAATTATCCTCCTCTATAAATTACAATAATTTTTCAAGAAACTGCACTTGTGTTATCTTCTGCCTCAGGATACATTTATTGAAATAAAGAGTTAACAATACTACAATCTATCTAGGTATACAGCAAATAAAAATTTAATTTATATAATCAAAGGGTAATGCAATTTTAAGCAAATTCTGCATCAGTAACAATAACTAATTGTGTTAAACTAAAAATAACATATCTTAGTATGAAATAGACATGTAAACGTTGTAAGTGTAGGTAACATTAACAGTAATAAAAAAAAATACACACAGATGTATAGAAAATATAAAAAATGTTTCGTATTATTGTAATACGAGCATAAAAAAAATATATAAAATAAAAAAAAATTCTTGTCTCTTTTTGTCGCTCATAACAGGACTGAATATAAGTAATGCAGTTGTAAAAAAATTGTTATCTAATTGTTATCCCGCTGACGAATCATTTCCGAAACGGGGACTCTTTTTATTCCCTCGACGTGGTGGATTTCCTACATTCCGTTCGTCTTCGTATATAACGTTGAGGGAGCTCGGGGAACTTGCTTTTAAAGTGTTATCGGAAATCAAAGTCTGGAAAAATAATTGCAGTGCTTGATATCATAAAAAAGACTACATTGAATGAATTTTTTGTGACGTCACAAATCCCCCGTATGTTATTAATTGAAGTTACACTGTTAAGGGTACGTGCTATCACGTTGAGGTTGGCTACGCTGGGATTCGTTTTCAGCAAGTAGATATCCACACAAGTGGACCTTGTTGGAGCATACGTATTCCTAAAATGTAGCATCGTGCTACAGATGGCGTTTACTGCGCCATTTGTAGTATTTTCTAAAACGCACTGTTAAGACAGCAGGTAAAAGTTGGTCTGTGTTC